GGGGTGAGTTGGGTTTTTTTTTTCACTATTCTCGAAATGACCTGGACAAGGTGACTCGACAGACGTTATATTATTTATTTTCTCACCTCTGATTAAAATTAAAAATGAAGTCATAAGGGACCCCGTAGGAGTAACACCAGTCCTACCACACATTGAAAAACAAAAGGTCAAGTGGTTCGGACACCTCACGCGGTTGCTCTCAAACCTTCCAGCTCTGAGAGCATACTACATTAAATATTCTGGATGGAGAGCCAGAGGAAGACCAATACGACGATGGAGTGAATCTGTGGCAGACACCCTCAGAGCTCACGGGATGTCCCTCCTACAGGCCACTCGTCTTGCTGCAGACAGACGCCCGTGTCTCCCCGCAACACCCCCCGGTACAAGCGGAAGAGAAAAGTAAAAGTAAAGTAAAGTTCTCACCTCTTCCATTTACGTCACTACCGCAGTAACGACTTGGCTCTGATGGGAACCAGGACTGTCGCCTTTTACCGTCACCGTCGCCATCACCACCACTAGAACCACCGTTATTGCTTCTGATACAACCTTCAACAGTCACCACTATCTTTTCCATCACTACCACCATCGCTACCACAACAACTACCGCCACAACCACCACAGCCACCACCACAAACACCATCACCTCAACCACCACCACAACAACTGCTACAACTGCCATTACCAACACAAGAACCTCTGTTATTGCTTTTGATACAACCATCACCATCATCAATACAATTTCTCCCTTCACTAACATCACCACTACCACCACCACCACCACTACCACCACCACAACCACCACCACAGCCACCCAAACCGCCTCAACCACCACCACCACAACTTCCATCATCACCACTAGAACTTACGTTATTGCTTTTGATACAACCGTCAACCATCAGCAATATCTCTTCCATCGCTACCACTATCACCATCACTAGCACCACCACGACCACCATCACCACCACAACAACTACCACCACAACCACCACCACAACCTCCACAACCACCACCCTCCCCCCCCCAGAACAACTGCCATTACCACCACAATCACCACCACAACCACAACCACAACCTCCACAACCACTACCCTACCCACCACCACCACTACCACCACCACTACCACCACTACCACCACCACAACCTCCACAACCACTACCCTACAAACCACCACCACTACCACTACCACTACCACCACCACCACCACTACCACTACCACCACCCTACCCGCCACCACAACTGCCACTACAACCACTAGAACCTACGTTATTCCTTCTACAATCACCACTATCTCTTCCACCACAACCACCACAACAACCACCACCACCACAACAAC